GCCGGCTTACAGGATTTGTCTTTTTCAGGATAAGCCTCATCCATACTTTCGGCGAGACGGCGCAGATATTTACTATACAGCAAAGATCTCCCTAAAGGATGCGCTTTGCGGCGTGAGCCTAAAGATTCCGACTCTGGAACCTTCAGTGACCGTGCCGATGAATATATTCGAGGTGATCAAGCCAAAAGCCGTCAAACGGATTCCCGGTCAAGGCTTGCCGATGCCCAAGCAAGCGAACAAGCGTGGCGATTTGCTGGTCACGTTCGATATCAGGTTCCCGGATACTCTCCCTTCGGCGACAAAGGAGATTTTGCGAGATTGTTTGCCTTGAAGCGGCGAATGGTAGCGAAAGTGCAGTTTGTGAGTGATAGAAATTTTGATTATTATATTTTTGGCTTGCGTTGCAGCCATGACGTTTGTATATTTATTATGCGTTACGTATTGCCGAACGTTTTTGCCGTACGCGTCCCTGCTCCGTTCTGGTCGGCCAGGTTGTTATTTTTCGGACAGGCTTGTTTGCGACCACCATTATTTGCGGTGGAACTGACAATTTTAAATCTGATTCCGCGTACGTCTCTCGGAGATTATCGTTTTGCATCGCAAATGCGTAGAAAAGCTGATGTTGCTTAACTACGGGATAGACAAATGTTAAGCTTCTGCACTCGTTCGAGTGGACAGGTGCGATGTATTCTGTTTGTTTGTACATATACAAATTTTTGTCTTTCATGTTGTATTACGAAGAATTTGTAACAGATAAATTGCTTACCTTGAACTCTTTCGTGCCGTCGTTGTATCTGCAACTCGTATTGAACGACGCGTTGATTTTACGCTCAAGCTTCGTAAAACTGCGCGCAGAAACGCATTTAGTTCTTCCTTTTTTTATTTTCTTGTTGGTGTGATTGGTAAGTAATTGTCACTTGCAGCTAATGCAAAGAATACGATAAAATCAGTTAATTAAATATTACAGGGCGATAAACGCGGTTTACGACGATTCGGCATGGCCGTTTGGGGCACGAGCTGTTTCGGCGCCTGTCGTTGATCGTCAACGTGCAGTTCTGTGGCGCGAGTTTAAATGTATATGATTGGATTGCGGTCACCACTTCGATCAACTGTATCATCCAACCCACAGTTTTCCATATCCGTTAGAAGCTGTCCGTGAGCACAATGCTAATCTTCTGTTAAGCAACTGAACTTATAAGAGTTCTCGTTTCATTTTATGGTGCAATTTTTCTAACCGACAATTCAGCGGGTATCTTGCGGTCACGAGTTTGACTGTCCTTCAGCAGATGTTCATAATTTATGTATTAATGAATAGCTTTCTCGGAGTACAATACGTCGCACTGGGAGCACAGTACAAATCCACCGTCAAATTTATACATTTCCAATATTTGTTTCATTTGGTTCCCTCATAGCTGCACAAGGTGATTAATTCAAAGCGCAGTAATGTTGTAGACATTGTAACTAACACTATTCTGGACGTATCAGTTACACTATCCCGTTTGCACTGATGCTTATATTAAGCCCTTCTGCGGCTGGTGTGGAATTAGCAAAACTTGTGACGAAGATCAAAATAAACGCCGAAGACAGCATGAAAGCGCCCTTACAAGTTGTAAACGAGTGGATTGTCACAAGCGGCTCAGAGTTAATTTCAAAGTCTTCGAACACTTAAGATTTTCATACGAAAAAGAAATGAAGTGAACACTGCTGCACCCTCTCATAAATCTAGGGACGCTAATTTTGCCGGAATCATAGAATAGGTAGGAACCGTAGTCAGACTTTTG